AGAATACTACACCCACCGCATACCCCCACTGTAATATTAGGTGTAATATCTTCCTAAGATATTATGAATAATATCATAGGGTGTGCACTCGCTGTGAAATTAAAAGTAATATCTCTCTGGAATATTATGAAAAATATCACAGAGAGTACACCCACTGTGATATTAGGAGTAATATCTTCCTTGGATATAACCAATAATATCACAAATGTTATACTCACGGTGATATTAGGAGTAATACTATTTAAAATATTAAGAATATCACAGGCTGTACCCCATGGTGATATTAGCAGTAATATCTCCCTAGGATATCATAAATAACATCACAGTGTGTATACCCATGGTGATATTATGAGTAACAGCTTTCTAGGACATTATGAATAATATCACAGGTTGCACACACATGGTGATATTAAGAATGATAGCTTTCCAGTATATTATGAATAACATCACAGTGTGTACACCCACTGTGATATTAGGAGTAATAACTTCCTAGGACGTTACGAGTAACTTCTCAGGGTGTACACCCATGGGGATATTAGGAGAAATAGCTCCCTGGGATACTATGAATAACATTAGCGGGTGTACACCCACTGTGAATAATAGGAGTATTACCTACCGAGAATATTACGAATAATATCAGAGGATGTACACCCACTAAGATATTATGAGTAATATCTCCCTAGGAAAGAACATATAATATCACAGTGTGTACACCCACTGTCATATTAGTAGTTATATCTCCATAGAATATTACAAATAATATCGAAGGGTGCACACCCACTGTCATATTAAAAATAATTTTTTGTAGGATATTACTAATAATATCACAGGGTGTACTTTCACTGTGATATTAGCAGTAATATCTCCCTAGTATACTACAAATAATATAACAAGGTGTCCACACACTGTAATATTAGGAGTAATACTTCCCTAAGATATTACGAATAAAATCACAGGGTGTACACCCACTTTGAAATTAAAATTATATCTCTCTAAGATATTTTTAATAATATCACAGAGTGTACACCGTATGTGATAGTAGGAGTAATATCTCCCCAGGATATTATGAATAATATCACAGGGTTTACACTCAAGGTGATACTATGAGTAATATCTCTTTAAGATATCACGAATAACATCATAGAGTGTACACCCACTGTGATACTGGGAGTAATTATCTCCTTAAGATATTATAAATAAAATCACAGTGTGTACACTCACGGTGATATTAGGAGTAGTATCTTTCTATGATATTGCAAATAACATCACAGCATGTACACCCACTCTGATATTAGGAGAAATAGCTTCCTAGGATATTAAGAATATCATCACAGGGTGTACATCCACAGTGACATTTGGAGCAATAACTCCTGAGGATATTATGTATAACATCACAGGGTGTACACGCATGGTAATATTAGGAGTAATCGCTCTCTAGGATATTAGAAATAACATCACAGGGTGTACACCCACTGTGATATTAACAGTAATAACTCCCTAAGATATTATGAATAACATCACAGGGTGTACATTCACTGTGATATTAGGAGTAATCGCGCCCCAGGATATTAGAAATAACATCAGAGGGTGTACACCCACTGTGATATTAACAGTAATAACTCACTAAGATATTATGAATAACATCATAGAGTGTACACTCACAGTGATATTAGGGGTAATAGCTTTCTAGGTTATTACGAATAATATCACAGAGTACACACCCACGGTGAAATTAGGAGTAATAGCTCCCTAGGGTATTACGAATAACATCACATGTTGTACACTGACTCTGATATTAGGAGAAATAGCTCTCTAGAATATTATGAATAACATCAAAGGGTGTAAACTCACTGTGATATTAGGAGTAATGACTCTCTAGGATATTAAAAATAACATCACAGCAAGTACACCTAATGTGATATTAGGAGTAATAGCCTCCTAGAATATTACACATAACATTGCAGGGTGTACAACCACTGTGATATTAGGAGTAGTAGGTACCTAGGGTATTATAAATAACATCAAAGGGTTTACATCCACTGTGATATTAGGAGTAATAGCTCCCAGGATATTATGAATAACAGCAGGGTGTACACTCACTGTGATATTAGGAGTAACAGCTTCCGAGGATTTTACAAACAATGTCACAGGATGTATTCCCACTGTGATATTAGGAGTAATAACTCCCTAGGATATTACAAATATCACAGAGTGTACACCCACTGTGATATTGGGGTAATAGCTCCCTAGGATATTACGAATAATATCACAGGGTGTACACTCACTGGGATATTAGGAGTAATAGCTTCCTATGATATTATGAATAATATCACAATGGGTTTACTCACGTGGTGTACATCTACTCTGTTATTAGCATAATATCTCCCTGAGATATTATGAATAATATCACAGTGGATGTACACACTATTACTCAAAGAAAGAGTAATATCTTTCCAGTATATTAAATATAATATCTCAGGATTTACACACATGGTGTACACCTACTCTGATATTAGGAGTCACATCATCCTAGGATATCACAGAGTGTACACCCACTGTGAAATTAGGAGTAATATTTCTCTAGGATATTATGAATAATATCACAGGGTGTACACCCTCTGTGATATTAGGAGTAATATCTCCCTCAAATATTATGAATAACATCTCACAGTGTACAACCACTCTCATATTAAGAGTAATATCTCCCTCGGTTGTTATGAATAATATCACAGGGTATACACCCAGTGTGATGTTAGAAGTAATATCTCCCTCAGATATTATGAATAATGTCACAGGGTGTACATTCACTGTGATATTAGGAGTAATATTTCCCAAGGATATTATGAATGATATGACAGCATGTACACCCACTGTGATATTAGAATTAACATCTCCCTAGAAATTTACAAATGATATCACAGGTTGTACACCCACTGTGATATTAGGAGTAATATCTCCCTAGGAAATTATGAATAATATCACAAGGTGTACACACATTGTGTACACCCACTGTGATTTTAGGAGTAATATCTCACTAGGATATTACAAATAATATCACAGAGTTTACACCCACTGTGATATTTTCTCCCTAAAATATTACAAATCATATCACAGGTATACACTCACTGTGATATTATGAGTAATATCTCCCTAGGATATTTCGAATCATATCACAGGCTGCACACCCACTGTGATGTTAAAAGGAATATCTTTCTAGGACATTACAAATAGTATCACAAGGTGTACACCCACTGTGAGATTAGGAGTGATATCTCCCTAGAATATTATGAATAATATCACAGTGTGTACAGCCACTGTGATATTAGGAGTGATACCTTCCTAGGATATTACAAATAATATCATAGGGTGTACACCCACTGTGAAATTAAAAGTAATAGCTCCCTATGATATTATGAATAATATCACATGGTGTACACTTACTGTGATATTAGGAGTCGTATCTCCTTAGGATATTACGAATATTATCACAGAGTGTATGACCACTGTGATAGTAAAAGTATTATTTTTCTAGGATATTACGAATAATATTGCACAGTGTACTCCCTCCGTGATATTAGAAGTTATATCTCCCTAGGATATTACAAATAATATCACAGGGTGTACACCCACTGCGATATTAAAAGTACTATCTTTCTAGGATATCATGAATAATATCACAGGATATACTGTCACTGTGATATTAGGAGTAATATATCCCTAGGATATTACAAATAATATGACAGGGTGTACAACCACCATGAGATTTGGAGTAATATATATGTAGCATATTATGAATAATATCACAGGGTGTACACCCACTGTGATATTAGGAGTAAAATCCCCCTCGGATATTACAAATAATATCACAGTGTATACTCCCACTGTGATATCAGGAGTAAAATCTCCTTCGGATATTACGAATAATATCACAGGATGTACAACCACTGTGATATTAGGAGTAATATCTCCCTCGGATATTTCGAGTAATATCACAGGGTTTACACACATGGTGTTCACCCACTGGGATATTAGGATAGTATCTCCCTTGGATATTACGAATCATATCAGAGGCTGTATACAGGTGGTGTTCACCCAGCGTGATACTAGGAGTAATGTCTCCCTCAGATATTAGGAACAGTCTCCCCCTGGGACTTAGCAGAGCGTAACCCCCCAGTGTTAAATAAGCGGCCACAGCAAGAGGCAGAGGCGCAGGGACTGAAATGAAGACAAAGATCTGACAAGTTTAAAAAATGTATTTAAAGTAGAATTTATAAAATGCTTCATCTGCCGACTCAGGAGCCCGCGGTGCAGGGTGGGGTGGGAGTTGGCAGCTGCCCGCTACACCAGCAGAGTGAGACTGCAGGAGTGCGGCCCTCCCTCCCATGCCCCTCTGTTCAGACACCCAAGGGGCTCACGTGCACTCCTGGGATCACACCACCCGAAAACAGGACTCCAGAGGTTTCTTGAGTCTCTGCTTACCAGGGCGACCGGGTACAGCCCTGCCAGCCCATTGCATAATCTTCTAAGTTCTCCCCACCACCCTCCATTCCAGCAGTGAGGTGACTGTGACGTGGTCTCCATCCTCTCGGCCTTGACCCAGTGGTCCCCGCGAGTGGACGCTTAGGCGGTCACCAGGCCTCCTTGTTACTAACGTGTGCACACCTTTCGGTTCTCCCATTGGGGTGAACTCCTGGAAATTGCTGGGTCCAAAGTGTTTGGGAAGTTTGGAGTGATTCTTGTTGCAAGGGGAAGAGGGAACTATGGAGATGTCACTGAACTTTCAGGGGTTCCGGGACCCCCCAACCCGGTGCCTGTCCCAGCTCCCCGAGCTCCTCTCTCCTCCGCTCCTCCCTCCCCCACCTCGCCTGTTTTCACCTCCCGTGACCTCAACCCCGCCGCGCAGCTGGACCTTGCCCGGCGCCTCCCGATCCCGGAGCTCGAATCCCAGCAGGACCAGCCCAGCCCCGCCCCTTCCCTGGCAGGAGCGAGGCGGAGCAGTCTGCCCAGAGACTTAGCGACAGACAGACGCTGGGACCCACGACGACTGAAGGCGCCGATGGCCGCGCCTGCTGAGCCCTGCGCGGGGCAGGGGGTGAGTGCCCCCCCATCGCGCCCCCCTCTCCTTTTCCAGGCTTGGTTTGGCTGCAGTGTCTCGGGCTGCAATACTGGGGATTCCTAGACCCGGGAAGCGAGGAAACTTACTCCAGCCCCCCTCACTGCAGCGGGTTGGACTCCTTTCACCAACCCAGCGCCCCCGACAGCCCAGCTCTGTCTAAGGGGCCACCAGACCTCCCAGCTACTAGGGGCTTTGACCGTTATTTGCATAAAGCTAGTGGGTGCTCCGAGCCCTCCTATCCGCAGAGAGCCTTACCTCTCTGGTTTCTTTTTCCATCGCTCTTAGCAAAGGACTCCAGAAAGTGGAGTTCACGGGGTGAGGGTGGGGGTTGCAAACTGCCAGCATTTCAAGGGCCAGGGAGATAAGCGATAAGTTGGTATGAACTGAGGGCTTCCTCTGTGCCTAGCCTTGTGCCCAACCTTGTGCCCAACCTTGTGCCATGCTGCTATGAACTTTGCTGCTATTAATCCATTTAATACAATTCATAGAGGTAAAGTCTCATTATTCACCTTTTGCAGGGAAGGAAACTGAGACAGAGAGGTTAAAGTTTGCACAGCCAGTGAGTTGTGAAACCAGGGGGAGTAAAAAGACGGGAGAGAGAATTGAAGAGGCCACGTCCACTAAACTTCAAATTTGTTCTAGGGTTAGATAGGACCAGCAGACCTGCTGAGATGAAAATAACACATCAAGCTGGGCCAGTGGCTCTTGCCTGTAATCCCAGTACCTAGGAGGCTGAGGCAGGAGGAGCTTGAGGCCAGGAGTTCGAGACCAGCACGGGCAACATAGATGTAGAGACCCCCATCTCTACAAAACATAAAAAAAAGTTAGCCAGGCCTGGTGAGGCGGCTTATGCCTGTAATCCCAGCACTCTGGGAGACCGAGGTTGGAGGATTGCTTGAGGCAGGAGTTCAAAGCTTTGGTGAGCTTTGGTTGTGCCACTTCAGCCTGGGCAACAGAGTGAGACCCTGTCTCTAAAACATAAATTAATTAATAAAAAATAAAAATAAATCACACATCAAGACCACCAGTCAAACAAGGTTTGGGGTCAGATAAGCCTGGGTCAGAGTCAGCTCTGCTACTTCCCATTTATGTGGCCCTGAGGGAGGCAGTTCCCCGATTGGTGCCTCAGTCTGCTGGTCTCTGAAATGGGGACAGTACTGCCTATGTGCTGGAGTTCTTATAAGGATTAACTGATGGTCTGTGCCTAGCAATGATTATGGAGCCCAGGTCTCCTAGACCACATGGCCCAGTTCCCTGGGTTCAAATCCCAGTTCTTCCACTCCTCAGCTGGGTAAAGTCAGCCAAGTTACTCAACCTTTCTGGTCCTCGGCTTCTTCATCTGTAAATCAATATGATAATTGCATCTACCTAGGGTTGATGTCAGGATGAAAGGAGTTGAGAATTATTAGGTATTCCAAAGAGTGCTTGGCACATTTTTGTGTAAATGTTAAAGATCAAAAAAATTGCCTGGGCCCCTGGGCAGGTGAGTTGGGGATCCCTGCCTTATACCATCCTAAGGGGCCTCCTGGTGTTCCCTCAGGTCTGGAACCAGACAGAGTCTGAACCTGCTGCCACCAGCCTGCTGAGCCTGTGTTTCCTGAGAACAGCAGGGGTCTGGGTGCCCCCCATGTACCTCTGGGTCCTTGGTCCCATCTACCTCCTCTTCATCCACCACCATGGCCGGGGTTACCTCCGGATGTCCCCACTCTTCAAAGCCAAGATGGTAGCTGCCATCCCTGGGAGCCTGGAACGAGGCAATGGTGGGGGGAGGCAGGGGACAGGCTGGAACCTGGTGAAGTCTTAAAGCAGACTCCTCCTATCAGCGTGTAGAAGGGAATCTCTTAATCAAACAGAGCAATATTAGAGAGGCTACAGAGGTCAACTCGGTGGAACATGGTTCTCCCAAACAGATTTTGTAATTCCGAAAATACATGCATGCACAAACACACACATACACTCCCATGTTCCCGGACAGTTTATAACTACCATAACCTGGCATTTTCCAAAACATACTATGTAGACTCTTGGGTACACAGGGTAATTTTAGGGCCACATTGGGATGAACCTTTTAAAAAGTTATGCACTTATTTTTATGTTCCCCCACTGGCTGTATGATAGGACAATTTTTATATGTGATATGTATTTAGTGTGTTAAATAAACACTGGCATTCCAAGTGTGAGCCTTTCTGCTCATCCATCCTCTTCTACTCTGTTCTTGTAGGCTTCTAAAGAATGTTCTTCAGAGTTCATTCATTCTTCTGCCATTGTGTCAATTTTTGCATAATCACCCACCAACAACCCAAGGGTTGGCAAACTTAAAGAGCCAAGCAGTACATAGTATTTGAGACTTTGTGAGCCAGATAATCTTCCTTCCAAACACTGAACTCTGCCATTCCAGAATGCAATGGTCATAACCATAGACAATAGTCATGACCATGTTACTTTTTTTTTTTTTTTTGAAATGCAGTTTTGCTCTTGTCACCCAGGCTAGAGTGCAATGGTGCGATGTCAGCTCACTGCAACCTCCGCCTCCTGGGTTCAAGTGATTCTCCTGCCTCAGCCTCCCAAGTAGCTGGGATTACAGGTGCCCACCACCACACCTCGCTTTTTTTGTATTTTTAGTAGAAACAGGGTTTCGCCATGTTGGCCAGGCTGGTCTCCAACTCCTGACCTCAGGTGATCTGCCTGCCTTGGCCTCCCAAAGTGCTGGGATTACAGGTACGAGCCACCACCCCCGGCCGACTGTGTTTCAATAAAACTTTATTTGTAGTCACTGAAATTTGGATTCCGTGTAATTTTCACCTGTCACGACATATGCTTTTTATTTTTCTTTGATGATTGATAGTTTGCCAACTTCTGCTTTAAACTGAGGTTCTTTGAGCAGTTCTTCCAATATGCCTTAGCTCTGGCCTTCCCTCTGGTGTGTACATGTTCTCTCATTTTCGTCCTTTCTTTTATTCAATAGAGAAACCAATATATATTAGAGAGACCCTAGAGACTTACTGGCTCCTTGATTTCATAGCAGGGTTTGAAAATGACTTGAAGAGAGGATAGTTTTTTACCTGGTGAGTACATTTCATTTCCTGCTATTTCTTCACACCCAAAGTCATCTCACATGTGCACGATTAGAGCACTTCCTGCATTTTGGAAAACACTCGGCTGGCTCAAGCCCTTGCTGTACATTATTTATATGACAATCACAGGTCAGGACCGATCTGCAATGCCCTTTACACATTGTTCACATTGGCACATTGCTAGCTGGTGATACTGGTTTGTTACAGGGCCCCAGCCAGGATGTTGCAGAACCAGCTCCCAGTTGGACATGGGGTTGCCCACCCATTTGCTGTGACCTCTCTTATTGCCCCCCAAGCTTATCTAAGCCTGTACCCTCAGGTGCTTGGGTTCGCCCTCATAGTCCTGTGTACCTCCAGCGTGGCTGTCGCTCTTTGGAAAATCCAACAAGGAACGTCTGAGGCCCCGGAATTCCTCATTCACCCTACCGTGTGGCTCACCACGATGGTAATGATGCCTTCAGTCTGGAGCCTGGTTTGCTCCCAGCTGCTGCTTTGCCTGCCACCGTGAAGAACAAGGGGAAGAGAAGAGGCTGCCCTCAGCCTCCATCCTCCCCTAAGGGGCCTGCCCTGACTTTCCTGTCCAGAGCTTCGCCGTGTTCCTGATTCACACCGAGAGGAAAAAGGGAGTCCAGTCATCTGGAGTGCTGTTTGGGTACTGGCTTCTCTGCTTTGTCTTCCCAGCTACCAGCGCTGCCCAGCAGGCCTCCGGAGCGGTAAGTGGGGGTGTGGGCCACCCCGGGAAACCAAAATGGTGGCTCTGGCCTTGGGTCCCATCTTTCCTCCTCTCGTTTCCACATATGACTTATTCTCTACACGGTGACACACATAAGCCAGTCACTTACACTCTAGAGACACAAAATCCACTCCCACACCTGTAAGTACCCATCATCCCATACATTTCTTATCAACACGATTTCCTGTCTTACACACCCACATCACACGTGCCACTTGCACATGACGCACACACTTATATGCACTGATTCATACATCACACAAGCACATGCATGCATGCACACACACACACAACCTGGGCACAGGGCACAGACACACCTGTGTGCACACATACTCCTACGTGCACATCTCCCCTCATCTCATGGATTCACCCTCCCCACGTTCCTATGCATCTTTATTTACACACTCATTCTGCACACCCACTCATATTTCTGTTGCTCAATCTGGGAAGCAGCCTTTTTTTTGAGAGGCTGTCTCTGTCACCCAGGCTGGAGTGAAGTGGCATAATCTCGGCTCACTGCAATTTCTGCCTCTCGAGTTCAAGCGATTCTCCTGCCTCAGCTTCCTGTGTAGCTGGGATTACAGGTGCGTGCCACTACACCTGGCTAATTTTTGTATTTTCAGTAGAGACGAGATTTCACTACGTTGGCCAGGCTGGTCTCGAACTCCTGACCTCAAGTGATCCTGACCTCAAGTAATCCACCCGCCTTGACCTCCCAAAGTGTTGGGATTATAGGCATGAGCCACTGCGTCTGGCCAGAAGCAGCATTTCTATATTAGGAGACATGATGGGTCATTTTCTCTGCAAAGAGAAAAACATGTAGTCTAGACCAACTTCTCTCAACCTCAGCTTTAGTAACGTTGTGGCCAGATAAGTCTTTGCTGGGAGGACGGGGTTGTCCTGTTTGCTGTAGAGTGTGAAACAGCATCCCTGGCTTCCGCCCATAGATGCCAGTAGCATACCATCCAATTGCAGTAACCCAAAATGTCTCGCGATATTACCAAGTGCTCCTAGGGTGAGGACAAAGTCACACACCTACTGAGGAGCAGTGGCCTCGACAGAGTGTTTATCCAAGGCTTCTGGGACAGGGGGTTATCTTAACACCAATGATCACGCGGCAGCAGGTTTCAGATATTTTACTTTATTATTGTATTTTTGTGGAGACAATATCGTGCTCTGTTGCCCAGGCTGATCTTGAACTCCTGGGCTCAAGCAATTCTCTGACCTCAGCCTCCTAAAGTGCTGGGATTATAGGCATGAGCCACCACGTCTGAACTCACAGATCATTTCTTGAGTCCAGTGGTTACTCCATCCTGCCCCTAAAGGAGAAAGTAGAGAAGCATCATCCTGTCTTTAAGGACAGGGTTTTTATTTTTCGTTTGTTTATTCTGAGACAGAGTCTTGCTCTGTCACCCAGGCTGGAGTGCAGTGGCACAATCTTGACTCATTGCAACCTCTGCCTCCTGGGTTAAATCAATTCTCATGCCTCAGCCTCCCGAGTAGCTGGGATTACAGGCATGTGCCACCACGCCCAGCTAATTTTTGCAGTTTTGGTAGAGACAGGGTTTCACCATGTTGGCCAGGCTCGTCCCAAATGCCTGACCTCAAGTGACTCACCCACCTCGGCCTCCTAAAATGCTGGGATTACAGGCGTGAGCCACAGCGCCTGACCGAGGACGCAGTTTTTAAAAGAGTAACCTTTGTAACTAAGGGGAAATTCCACAGGGTATTCAGTAATTTCTGAAAGGGTCGGCTCCCACAGTTGACATAAGTCAGGTTTTTGGGACACAGCATAGAAACAATAATACTGGGACCATTTACACTCAGGGGTTCCAACCATGTGCAGGCACTGTGGCAGGCACTTACACACCTGTCCTCATTGGATTCTCACAATAGTTCACAATGATGGATTCTTTTTTCTTTTCTTTTTTTTTTTTTTTTTAATAGAAACAAAGTCTCATTATGTTCCCAAGGCTGGTCTCAAACTGCTAGGCTCAAGTGATCTTCCCACCTAAGCCTCTCAAAGTACAGGGACTATAGGCTTGAGCCAATGTGCCCAGCCAGTGATGGATTCTAGCTATCCCATTTTAAAGATGAGGGAGACTAAGGCTAGGAGAAGGGAATGACAGCCTCAGGGCCACAAGGCTTGGGAGTGCAGAGCCCAAGTTCATCTCAGGCAAATTCAGAACCAACTTTCTGAGAGAAACAGTGGGGAAAACAGTGGCAGTTTAGGGAAGATGGGCCATATTGTCATTGGAATATCCAATTGTCTGCTATCTGGGGGGGGGGGGGAAAAAAAAAACTAGAAGAGTATAAAATCCAGTAGAGGAATTGTGATTTGAAACTAGGGCTCTGGTTTAAAGCCATAAAAACTCAGTTCACCCTAGCTTAAGGAAAAGGGAAGGTCAGGGGGGTTATTAGCTCATGTATTTATTAGCTCATACCCATGGGATCTCCCAGGCATGAATGATCCAGGCCTGGGACCAGGTACCAGATCTCCACTTCTGCCTCTTGGCTTGGCCATATTAGCTTGATTCTCCAATGGAGTGGCAAGAAGAGCCACCAATACCTTCAGACTTATGTTCTACCACGTAGCAAACCCGGCAGAATCTCCCAGTGGTTCCAGCTCTCAAGTACCCAGCATGGGATGCTATATGCATTCCTAACCCAGCCATGGTAGCCAAAAGACTAGAATGTATTCATTGGCCAAGCCTCAATCACCCACTCAGCCTTGGAGTAGAGTCAGTTCTGCACAAATCACATGCCTGAACACAAGCAAAAAGACTCAGGAAGAAAGAAAAATCAGTATATGGAAGATATCTCTGCATGATTATTACAGCACTGTTCACAATAACCAAGATTTGGAAGCACCCTAAGTGTCCATCAACAGGTGAACTGCTAAAGAAAATGTGGTGTATATACACAATGGAGTACTAAGCAGCTATAAGAAAGAATGAGGTATTATCATTTTCAACAACATGGATGTTAAGTGAAATAAGCCAGGCACAGAAAGACCAACTTTACGTGTTCTCACTTATTCATCAAAGCTAAAAGTTAAAACAATTTAACTCATGAATATACGGAGTAGACGGAAGGTTACTAGGGGCTAGGAAGGATAGTGCGTGGGGGACATGGGGATGGTTAATGGGTACAAAAAATAGAAAGAACAATACCTATTTGATGGCACAACAGGGTGACTATAGTCAATAATAATTTAATTATTCATTTTAAAATAACTAAAAGAGTCTGGACACAGTGGCTCACACCTGTGGAGCACTTTTTTTTTCCAGCACTTTGGAAAGCTGAGGCAGGAGGATCATCTGAGGTCAGGAGTTCAAGACCAGCCTGGGTAACATGGTGAAACCCCGTCTCTACTAAAAATACAAAAAAAATTAGCCAGGCGTGGTGGTGCACACCTGTAAGCTCAGATACTCAGAAGGCTGAGGCAGGAGAATCGCTTGAACCCAGGAGATGGAGGTTGCAGTGAGCCCAAATTAAGCCACTGCACTCCAGCCTGTGCAACAGAGTGAGACTCCAACTCAATAACAGACTAAAAAATAAAATAACTAAAAGAGTAAAATGGATTGTTTATAACAGAAAGGATAAATGCTTGAGGGGATGGAGACCTCATTTACTCTGATGTGATTATTATGCATTGCTTACCTGTATCAAAATATCTCACGTCACCCAGAAATATATATATCAGGCCGGGCGCGGTGGCTCACACCTGTAATCCCAGCACTTTGGGAGGCCAAGGCGGGTGGATCACCTGAGGCCTACATGGTACAACTCCATCTCTACTAAAATACAAAAATTAGCCAGGGGTTGTGGCACGTGCCTGTAATCCCAGCTACTCGGGAGGCTGAGGCAGGAGAATTGCTTGAACCCAGGAGGCAGAGGCTGCAGTGAGCCGAGATGATGCCACTGCACTCCAGCCTGGGTGACAAAGCAAGACTCTGTCTCCAAAACAAAAAGTATATACACATATATATGTGTGTGTGTGTGTGTGTATATATACGTGTGTGTGTATATATATCTATGTATATATATACACACACACACACATATATGTAAAATTTAAAAATTTTTTTAATTAAAAAAAGAAAGAAAATTAGGGTGTTTCTGACCAGATGACAGGGCAGCAGATGCAAAAATCATCGTGGCGTGGCAGCAGGAGCATCGCAATTTGGACCAGATCATCTGTGTGTCCTTGAAAAAGGTGCTGTCACTTCTCTAAGCCTTGGTTTCCCCATGAGTCAAAGGAAGCAAGTAAACCCCAGCTGATGAGACTGTGTATGGCAAGAAAGCTGTATGTGCCCAGGGCAGAGCCAGTGCTCAGTAAAACCAGCTCCCATCTCTGCACACCAGAGAACACTGGCCAAGGGGGAGCAGGGTTGAAGACTGGGGTAGAGGGTGGAATGGAGAAAGGATTTCCTTTGTGGCACAAAGAAGAAGGTAAAGTGTTTCTTCATCTCATTGTCCCAGCAGCTGTGGCAAATCATCACGTGGCTAAGGACAAACCCCAGACACAGCTGGCCCACCATTTGTACAGACAGAATATTATAAATTGGGTATTTGAAAATTAGGACCTGCTGGGCATGGTGGCTCACACCTGTAATCCCAACACTTTGGGAGGCCAAGGCGGGCAGATCACTTGAGGTCAGGAGTTTGATGCCAGCCTGACCAACATGGCAAAACCCCATCTCTACTAGAAATATTTTTTAAAAATTAGTCAGGCATGGTGGTAGGCACCTGTAATCCCAACTGCTCAGGAGGCGGAAGCAGGAGAATCACTTGAACCCAGGAGGCGGAGGTTGCAGGGAGCCGAGATCACACCACTGCACTTCGGCCTGGGCGACAGAGTGAGACTTTGTCTTAAAAAAAAAAACAAAAAAAGAAGAGAAAATTAGAACCACTAGGAATGCCAGGGCTTTCAAATACTCTTGCCCTGGACCCCAGCATGGATACTGACCTCAGCATCAGAAACCTTTTCTCTCCTCTAAGGACACTCCTCTGCCTCCTTTCCTAACCTTCTGCTTTCCCTCCCACAGGGCTTCCAGAGTGACCCTGTCCGCCACCTGTCCACCTACCTATGCCTGTCTCTGGTGGTGGCACAGTTTGTGCTTTCCTGCTTGGCGGATCAACCCCCCTTCTTCCCTGAAGACCCCCAGCAGTCTGTAAGTCACCAAGTTCCAACCTCATTCCTGTTTCTCTTTGAGGTCTCAGTCTCCCCCAAGTGACCAAAAGTCTCTAATTTTTTATTCATTTAGCCATTCAGCAAAATGTGTATTGCATTTCTACTCGATGCCACAGTTGGCAGACTTTTTCTGTATGGGCCAAGAGAAAATATTTTAGACTCTGTGAGCCATACAGTGATTTCGGTGGCAACCACTCAACTCTGCCATTGAACACAAAAGCAGAATATGTCAACAAATGGCGTGGCTGTGTTGCAATAAAACTTTATTTGCAGAAGCAGGCAGTGGGCCAGATTTGGTCATCGTTTGCCAACCCCCCTCTATGCCCTAGCAAGGGTTTAAGGATCTGTGGTGAACAAGCAGATAGAGTTTCTGTTCTCAAGTAGCTACTGGTCAAGTAGGGGAACCAGACGTTGGTCACATAATTAAACAAATATGTTGAAAATTGGCTGGGCACAGTGGCTCATGCCTGTAATCCCAACACTTTGGGAGACCGAGGCAGGTGGATCACTTGAGGTCAAGAGTTCAAAACCAGCCTGGCCAACAGGGTAAAGCCCCGTTTCTTAGCCAAAATACAAAAAGTTAGCCAGGGCATGGTGGCGCACCGCTGTAATTCCCAGCTACTTTGGGAGGCTGAGGCAGGAAGAATCCCTGAACCCAGGTGTGGAGGTTGCAGTGAGCCGAGCTTGTCCCATTGCACTCCAGCCTGTGACAAAGAGCAAAACCTCACCTAAAAAAAAAAAAAAAAAAAAAAGGGGAGAAAACAGAAAATTCCCCGCCCCCTCGGGCGGTTGAGTGCCGCTCTCGCTCGCCGCCCGAACCGAAGTTTTTCATATGAGAGATCTTGACAAAATACGCGTAACATTGAAGCAGCTTCTTGCTGAAACGCTACAGAAAACAATTCTTTTTGAGCGAGAGACATCGACTCCCCCTCGGACACGCTCCTATACACCTACCCAGAGGTTTCAAATGGGCCTGGGATGCAGGTAGATCCCGACCTCGCTATCCCACTCCCCCCGTAATGCTCAACCAACTTTGGGAATGCTACGCGAACCCCCTTTGTTTGTGCCACGTGTTCTAGATCAGACTAGGCAATATGCGTGAGACCCATCTCTACAAAAAGTTTTTCCAAAAAATAGCCAAGTGTGGTGCGCACGTGCTGTAGTCCCACTACAGAGTAGCCTGTGGGAGTCCCTAGAGTAGCTCTGTGGAGGGCTGAAACAGGAGGATTTGCGTTGAGTCCAAGAGACAAAGGCTGCAGTGAGCTCGAACTGCACCACTGCCTCCAGCCCTGGGGTAACCAGAGGAGACCCTGGTCTCAAAAAAAAAAAAAAATTACTCAAAGGCTTGAGAAGAACTAAAACTTATAGAAATCGTTTTGCACGTACAAGAGTTGCAACCAAAATTTAAAAGGCGGATAAACCTGCGGTGATGGCAGAATGTGGTGAAATGGACCCCCTTCACGCGCTGTTACTGGTAAAGAGTAAACAGACTGGTTTGTCATCTTCTGGAAAGCCAAACCCGACAAAATCCCCCGGCAGGTCTTTCAAAACATTTGCCAAGGGTATAATTGTCAAGGTCTCATTGTCCTTTTGTTATGGAGGGTCCTTGCTCTGTAAGATGGCAGAGCAAGGTTTGGTTTCAGTATAATCACAGTTGTTCTTCTGAGCACTGTTTTGTAGTTCTCACCTTAATGGACACTGGGTCAGGCCTGTGGCCCAATCCTCTTTTTAACCCTGCTGCCCTGGGAAGGCCCAGCGTCCAACTGTGTGTCACTTCTGTGGAAGGAAAAGACAGGGCAACCGGTCGATTGTGTATTTCAGGAACTAATACAAACGGTCAGCGCTGGGATGCAGTGGCTAAGCCTGTAATCCACAATTTTGGGAGGACGTGAAGGTAAGCGCAGATCGCTTTGAGGTCAGAGTTTTCAGCCAGCCTGGCCACATGGTGAAACCCCTGTCCCTCTACTAGAAACTACAGAAAAATAGCTGTGTGGTGTTGGCGCACACCCTGACCCAACCCCCCCCGTCATGCCCAGCTTCTTTGGAAGCTGAGGCAGAAGAATCGCTTGAACCCGGGGAAGGCAGAAGGTAGTAGTGGAGGCCAGATCACACCACTCGTACTTGCTAG